GTAAGATTGGCTTTTGTCACTCAATACAATGCCCTTAAACGCCACCCACGATGCTGCATGATGCTGCATGCACTAATCATTTGTTTCTTTTTGTTAATGGGGTGTTCCCTTCTCTGACTGTCCCACATTTTATTTAACCATTCACCCACTGAAAGACATGTAGGTTGTTTCCGGGTTTGAGCTATTATTAATTAAGCTGCAGTAAGCATTCATGTACAGGTTTTTGTGTGAACATAAGTTTCTATTTCTCTAGGATAAATGCCCAGGAGGGCAACTGCTGGGTTGTATGTCAAGTGCATGTTAACTTCTTGAGAAACCGCCAAAATAATTTCCAGAGTGGTTTCACCATTTTACATTCCCATCAGCAACATATAAGAGGTAATATAAATTTTAAAGTCACAATTTCTAAACTATTTTCTAAAAATCTGAAAAAATAACAAGGTTAAACCTCTTAAATGTTATAACCTAAACTTAAGTTTTTTAAAGATGAATCTAAAACTTTTTTCTACTGATTCCCAAATAAGAGACTTCTTTTTTCTCATTACCTCTAACAAAGAATTTACACAGTTGACCCTTGAACAACCCAGGCTTGAAATGCTAGGGTCTACCTATATGCAAATTTTCTTCTGTCTCTGCCAGCCTTAAGGTAGTAAGACCAACCCTTCCTCTTCCTCCTCTTCTTCAGCCTTCTCAATGTGAAGATGATGAGGATGAAGACCTTTATGATGATCCACTTCTACTTAATGAAAAGTAAATATATTTTCTCTTCCTTATGATTTTCTTAACATTTTTCTTTTCTCTAGTTTAAGAACACAGTATATAATACATATACAAAGTACGTGTTAACTTTTATCAACTTTTATCGGTAAGGCTTCAGGTCAACAGTAGGCTATTAATACTTCAACTTTTAGGAAGTCAAAAGTTACACTCAGATTATCTACCGCGCGCGGAGTCAGCACTCTGAACCCCCAACTTGTTCAAGGCTCAACTATAATTACATATAATTTGTATATTGATAGCTGTTCCGTACTATATAGAAAACTGCCATAAGAAGCGAAAAAGGCAACTTTGAAGCCTACAGTAGAAAGAGTAAAATCTGTTCCTGCATCTTCCAGCCTACAAAGGCTTAAGGTATAACACAGCACTTTCTAACACTGAGTACTGTGAATTACAATCACAATACATTAATACATAGTACCATCAAATGATGACTTTTGTTTAGCTGTTACTTGGTAAAACAATTTGAGAAAAGCAAATAACCTGAAATAAAGCTATAATTAGCTCTATGTCTAACTTCATGGTTTACTTTTTTAAAAATTTTAGATTTAATTGACAATTAGATAATGCAGTCTCTTCTGAGTTCTTAAAAGTAGCTTAAATCTAGAGCTGACATATCTGCCAACATGCAAACAACAGCTAGACAGCCAGTTCACAAAGAGAAAATAAATGCACAGAAAAAATTATAAGACCTCAGAAAGAGTGGAATAGTACCGCCTTGTTTCTAATGACCTGCAGGCTCATTTTTAGTCTCTTGTGGCCCAACCATATTATACCTGAAAATGAGCTCTATTAAGAAATACATATCCATGATTGGCATGATATTTGCTTAAAAAGTATGACAGAATGTTCCCAAAACTCAAATTATCTTGCAATTCAATTACTTCCATCTAGTGTATCTTCCCTCTTAGTGAATACAACTTATTGATAAACATTTTAGTATGCACATATATTTAATATTCATCCTAAATATTTGCCATTCTCAACAGTATATGCCTTAATTTTCAAATCCTACAGTGCTGGTTCCCATCCTATGGGAACCTACCATAGAGAGACAGGGGTTACTGCAAAAATCATCAAAACTCATGTATTATTTACCTAAATGACTAAATAATATGATTCACAAACATATTTTGCCAAGTTGACAAAGATACTGTAGCTAATAAAATTCTTAATAAATCTGTTGAAAAAGGTCAGTAAAAGTAGTTTCTTGGCATTAGTATTTACTGATGAATATTAAAAACCTAACTCCTAATATGGGGACAGGGGCACACCTCACACTTGTCTTGACTCTATAGAGCACTTTTCTATTTTAAAGTAATGCCCATATGTCATCCAGAACAAGAGTAGTAGGATGTGCTCAAATTTGAAAGCAACGATTTAAAACAACATTGGGAGAGATGGAGCAGGAGTAGGAGTAATTGGGAAAGTACATGACATTACAGCAAAACAACTTCAGAATGCTGGGTGCCTAAATATCATGGGGGGGGGGAATTAAAGGGCACCGCACTCTTCGCTTCTTTATAATGGCAAGTAGGAACATACTCAGGAATTTTGGTCAAAAGAGCCAAACATATCCCAGAGTACAACATCTAGCTTAATGTTTTGTCAGGATTCTAGCACCTCTTTAAATTAATCTTGCATCTTTATTAAAAATATTCTACATTTTATCATTAATAGTGCAGTTTTTCAAATATGCCCTAGGTATTTATTGACTTTTTTATGTGCTGAATAGTCCAAAAGTCAAGAAAAAAAAAAAATGACCTACATTAATTTAAAACAAAGAAAACTTGCTTCAACAAAGCACTACAATAGCAAGAACAGACTTTGCACCTAGTACAATTCCTGGCAAATAGGAGGCACATGACCTCTGGTGAATAAATAAGTCAATTTCTTCTCAATCCAAAAAATAACCCTGGCTAGCATGTAAAATATTCTACCAGTCTGAAAAATATTCTCCAGTCCTATTCAGTTACCAATCCATTCTCAGAACCCATCAAGACCAATTTTCATGAAAGCCTCACTCACACACACAAAGAGGCAGCATTTAATTCCCATTAGGCTCACTGCCTGATATATGGAGATATGAGCATTTGCACATTTGCATAAATTCAGGAGTCATCCTTCATTTGATATAAAGGTAAATCTGAAAGCTTTGTTTCATTTCCAAATAAGTTTTATTTTTCAAATCAAAAATATTTTTTTTAAGTTTTATTTTTCAAACCAAAATCCTATTCATAGTACATATTTTATTAAGGATGCTTTTAAGGAAAAAAAAACATGGTTGTCAAAATTAAAATCTTGTTTTTTTCTCTTCTAGACATCTGGGACATTCACTTATATATTTATTATTACTTCACATTAGTTCTCAAATTTTTAAAAAACCTGGCCTATTTCCTTAAGAAATTTAATTTTAGGGTCTGTCAACATTTTGAATGTATTACTGTTATTTTTAAAATATACACTTGCATACTGGAATAAAACTTAGCATAAGCTTTCCATATAACCATTTCCTGGGCACTTACTAACTTACTATATGCCAGGCTCTATGCTTAACACATTACTCCATTATCTCATTTGTTTAACAAATATCTTCTCATAATTTTTGCAGCACTGAACATAACAAGAAGCCACTGCACTATAAAACTGATATGTGTACTGGATACCCGTACTAAATTGACAGTAATGCCTAACACAAGTTTATTGTTATTAAATTCAAGTTGTGTTACTGTATTAACACAGAATCTGATCAGCAATGTTGAGACGTTCAGAGAACACCATCTGTGGTAGCATCAACGGGGAAAGCTATTATTATTTAAGTGACTACTTGAGTTACATTCCCTTCTATAGGTAGCACATGAACATCATCTTACCTACTCAGAAATTTAATTCCAGTCACTACTTGCCATGTTGAACAACATAAACGTAACCTGCACAAAATGACTAAACAATCCCTACTTCCTTCCGAAATTACTTTAAAATTGTAGATTAAATTCTTCCCCAAAGTAACATGCTCAGCATGTCCTTAAAAAAAAAAAAAAAGTGCCTTTTTCTGAACTCTTGAAAATAAATGCTGCCCTACATTTTTTTCACTCTTTTGAATTTCAGACTGAACAGACGAGCTATTCAAGTAAACAATAATAATAATTGAGATTCTTCAACAATTCCCTAAAACCACCACCCTCTTAAAACCAAAACTGATGTTTCCAAGTGGATCCAAGAAAGAGAGATTGGGGGGTGGGGGGGGGGAGAAAAACAAAAAACAAGTGACTTGAAAGAAAAGGGAGTGGTCTCCAGAGGAACCCAGTTTCTGTCTGTCTCTCTTCTCTCTCAGCGATTCTGGTGCAGTCTGTCAAATTTAACTCACTCTCCTAAGAGTTTTGAGACCAGAACCGAAAACTATTTCGGCGGTAGGAAATTCTGTGTGTTGCCCTTAAGTGCAGTTTCATCAGCCAAGGGTGCCGCCCTGTCAGCTAGGGAGAGAAAAGAGGGGCACGAAAACCCCTCGTAAACACCGACCGCGACTCTCTCGCCTCGAACCGTGCCCCAAAGTGCAAGTTCTAGGGGCCTGACCGCGACGTGGCAGGTAAATACGACACGGGGGCGGCCGCAGGGTCCCCGGGCCGGGACTGCGATCCCGGGCGGGGCACCTGTCCCGCTCAGGTCCTAAGCCCCCTCTGGGACGCCCTCGCTGGCCACCGAGCCTAACCCCCACTACTCCGGCCACTACTCGCCTGCCCCGTTTTAAGAAAGGTTTTCGGTATCCGCAAAGTACGGTATCGGCGCACACTGCGTCTCCCTTCTAGACTACGAGCTCCGTGGCGGCAGAAGGGCCTCGTCTGTCCTGGTCGCCCTCAGCACCGGGCCGACCCACACACCGGGTCTCTCGGACAAGGCCCCGAGCGCTGAGGAGGCGAAGCAAGCGAGCGCGCTACGGGGCCCGCCGGGACATGGAACTAACTTGGGGGCCGGCCTGGGGCCCCGGCGGGGCCTGAGGGAGACCGGGAGGAAGCGGCCGCCGGCACAAGCTGAGGTGACGCGGCGGACCGCGGCCCCGGCGAGCGGTCCAGCCCGGCGGCGCCTCTCGCAGCCCGGCGCCCGCAGGCCGCCCCCGGCCACCACCGTCCGGAGGCCCAGCGCCGGCCCCGGGCCCCGGCCGCCCGCCTCCGCGCCCCGGGCTCTGCGCGCGAGCTCTCAGGCCGCGCCGCCGGCGGCGTCCCTACCCCGAGCCGCAGGCCGGACGCCTTCTGCCCAGTACGAACTTCCCGCCGCTTTCGCCGACTCGCAACTCGACAGCGGCGCCGGCCCCTTCACACCCGGCAGTACGGAGCCTCCCCATTGGCTGGGGGCGACGCGGGGAGGCGGGGCGCGCGGGAGCGCGGACGGGCGAGGCGGGGCCCGCGCCTGCCCCGCCGCCTTCCGGGAATGCCGGGAGCTGTGGTCCCGCGCGCCCGCGGCTTCCTGGGAAGCGGAGTCTTTTAGGCCAAGTGAGGACGCGGTCCTGCCCCCAGGGCTTCTGGGAAATGTGGTTTACAGCCTCTGCTTCCGCCCTTCTGATCAAACACAGAACTGTACTCATCGATGCCATACAGACCGTATTCGGAGTGGCTTGATTTTCTAAATGTGTTAACAAAGGGCTGGGTGTAAAAGAAGCCCTGTGTTCCCACTGACTGTCTCTCCTGCATACTTTTCTCGCACTCTTGCCCATCACCCTGGGGTGCTCTCCCACTGCAGTCTGGTTCTGTTGACTATGGCCTGGCTCCGATTTCACCTCAGTTCAAATCCTAACTCTCCCACCCTATAGCTTTGCAACCTAAGGGAAGTTACATAACCTTTAAGAGTCTCAGTTTCCTGTTTTTGTCAGGCTGAAACGAGATCATCTATATTACACAGGAAAGTGACTCCCAATGCTGGGAGCCTCTTCAGGTCCAAATGGGTCCTTGGCTTTGAGTAAGAAAGAATTCAGGAGCGAACCAACAGTATAAAGTGAAAGCAAGATTTATTCAGAAAAGCAGAGAAAGTCTACTCCACAGAACTAGCAAAACCTAGCTCTCCTTGCAGAAGAGAACAGGCCCCCTGGTTCCTGTTGCCTTTCTATTTAAGCAATGGCTTAATTATAGGCTAAACAAGAGGAGGAATATTCTTGGAAGGGGCGGTGTTTCACCATCTTGGTTCTAACCGGTTGGAACTTGCCCTGTCTTCATCCTGTTTTGGTCAGGGTAATTTGAAACTTTAGTTTTGAGACTTCCTGACTCCGGCAGTGTTGTGACAATGCCCAAAGCAATGCCTAAGGCAATGACTGCAGCAATGCCCAAAGCAGTACCTGCCAGTTCCCTATCTCATATAAGATAGTACTTTGCACTTAGTGCTCAATAAATAGTAGATATTATTATTATTTAGTATTGACATGTGCCTAAATCTCACCTGTCTTTTGTCAATGGAAAAGAATACAAACTCTGTAAAATAATTTAAAGAGTTTCATTCCAAGCCAATTAGACCATGGCCCAGAGAACCATGCCTAAGAGGGCTTGAGCAAGTGGTCTGGCCATGGTTGGGTTACAGTTTGGTTTTATATATTTTAGGAAAACAGGAATTACACATAAAGTCATAAATCAATACATGGAAGGCATACATTTGTTTGGCCCCAAATGGCAGGACATTTCAAATCACAGGTTATGGGTGAGTTTAAAGATTCTTGATTTGTAATTGGCTAAAGAAATAAAGTTCTGTCTAAAGGCTTGGAAAGTTTTAAGTTAAGGAAGCCTATTAATCAGAAACAAACCACCAGACATTTACCAAGACTCAAGTGATCTGTTAAGTAAATTGATGACCTGCAGGTGTGGTTTAACTTTTGCCTCACACGGTCCTAGGTTTGTTAATAATTTTGTATCTTACAGTTACAAAGAGTAACTCCAAAAGGGGGAGACTATAACTAGGCATGTCTGACCTCCCTTCTCCTTATGGCTAAAACTCAGCTTTAAGGTTTGGTTTGGTTTGGTTTGGGGCAGGATCCCCTTGGCCAATAGGAGGTCCATTCAGTCAGCTGGGAGGGCTTAAGATTTTATTTTAGTTCACACTTTCAAGGCCTATTTTAATGTCTACCTAACCCTCTGTAGTATTTCATCCGTAATTCTCTTATACCACAGTATGCTTTGTATTTATAACCTGTTGTGTAAATCTTCATCACCCATGACACTGTAAGCTTATTGCAGACTGGAACAGTGTTCTAGGTCAAAAGTACCAAAGCCATACGCAGAGGGAGATGAACAATGAAGCCAATGAAGTACAAGCATCAGGATCTCACTTGCACAGGTCCCTTCCAAAGCCCTGAAAAGGGCTTTAACAATATATTTATATAGCTTTTTTGTTTCATCTTCCAAGATAAGATTTTTTGTATGATTTTCTTAAAGTAGATCTTGCAAAATTGTCTAAGCTTAGGTCCCCACAAAACCGGGGCTGGGGGGAGTTATGCCCATAGGACAGTTCAGTGTAGTGCCTGATGTCTTACATGTGCCCCTCCAGATAGCCTCACTGCCCCAGATACTTACCCAGCCTGCCCTCTGCCCCAGGAAGCTGACTGCTACAAACCACTTCAAGGTCCCTGTGCTCCCTGGCTTCTGTAGGGAACCCCGTAGAGGATTGGAAGGAAAGAGAAAGGTCGGTTAGCGTAGGATTTCCCCTGGATGCTTGCTGGCAAGGTTACTTCCAATTGGCTGGGCCCTCAGCTGAAGGTCACTGCTCCCTGGTCCACCCACCAGTTTGCAATAACAGTCGTTCCCTTTGTTTCTTGGTCTGGCAGTGATAACACCAGGGCTGCAGCTCAGCCCCAAGTTACTGCTCCAACCTGCGTGGTCCCACCCCCACACCTTTGTAAATAGTCCTGTTGCAAGGACTATTTGCAAGGACCCTCTTCAAATGATGCTGTTTCAAATGTGTCATCTGCTTCCTGTCGAGACCCTGATGGAAACACACGCATAAGGTGAGCACTCGATGAATATTTATTGGCAAAGAGTCTCAAGATTCTCACATCTCATGGGTGTGGAATCGCCCAGCAAGACTCTGTGGCCAGAATCCACTGAGAGGAAGACATTCTGCACACTCACGCGCGCGCACACACATGAGCACGCGCTAAGGAGACTTGGAACAGGACTGTCTGTCACAGTGTGACCATGTTCCCTAACCTCGCCACAGACATGCGGAAGAAACGTCCCTGCTTCCACACTGGGTTGACAATTGGCTGCCCTTAAAGCACAATTAAATCAGCAACCGTGCACGGCGTATTCCAGGGTGAGAACGGGATGTATTTATTCTGGAGCTCATGCCCTGGCACCCTCAGTAGGGTGACTTACTGTAAAACACTACTTAAATGCAGCTATGCTCCAAGGCAGTTGCCAACACCTCCAGCACCACCCACGCATGCCGAGATGTCCTACCAGTGCCCAGCACAGCAGGACCCCAGTCTAAGCTGCCCTTGCGAGACCACGTGTCTGAAATGCTGTAGGTGGGGCTATAGCTCCTGGCACATAGGAGACCCTTGACGAATTTGCGAGAGTTAATGGCTTGGTATCAGGATCAGGGTTGTGCAGAATGTTAACTAGATTTGCTATTACTGGGCTTTGGAAAATAAGAATTGAACTAGGGAGAAAAGGTTCATGAAAATAATTCCACCATTTATTCAAAAATACCTATACAGTCCAAACATTTACCAAACACTGTGAGCCAGTGATTGGGCTAACCTTCAGGGATTCTGGCTTAACTAGTGTTTACAGAGCCCTACTATTTGTCAGGCACTGTGCTGTTTCACAGACATTATCTCCCCAATTCTTAGAGACAAGAAAATATCTCAAAGAATTCAAATGACTCTAGGTTCTTGAATCTACTTTTTTTTTTTTTTTTTATGAGACAGGATCTCATTTCCTTGCCCAGGCTGAAGTACAGTGGCATCATCGTAGCTCACAGCAACCTCGAACTCCCAGACTCAAGTGCTCCTTCTGCCTCAGCCTCCCGAATAGCTGGGACTACAGGCATGTGCTGTGACACCCGGCTAATTTTTCTATTTTTGGTAGAGACAGAGTCTTACTATGTTGCTCAGGTTGGTCTCCAACTTCCGGACTCAAGCAATCCTGTCTCAGCCTCCCAAAGTGCGAGGATTACAAGTGTGAGCCGCCATGCCCAGCCTCCCAAATCTACTTCTAAATGTTCTTTTTACTGCCCTTTTATGCACAGCTTCGATATATAAGGACAGTTCTTAAAAGGGAATCATTTCAGCACAGTGGTAGAGACTTGTATAAAATGTTGTTGTCACAGTGAAGTACTGGTATCCCTGGTTAAGGGGCCATAAGGCTAAAGCAGAGTGACCCAGGAGAGGGTTTAGCTCAGTGAATAAAAATGTTCCAGCTGCCCAGCAAGGCGTATTCCAGGGTGAGAACGGGATGTATTTATTCTGGAGCTCATGCCCTGGCACCCTCAGTAGGGTGACTTACTGTAAAACACTACTTAAATGCAGCTATGCTCCAAGGCAGTTGCCAACACCTCCTTGCTGGGCAGACCAACTAAAAAATTATATACAGGATCTGTATTGATTTACCACATAGCTGGGCCCCAGAGGTCCCTTTTTTTTTTTTTTTTTTAATCTCTAGGAGCCCTGGCACAAAGGCAAGGAGAAGTAAAAACGGTCCACAGCACTTTGAGGGAGCATGCAGAAGGTGGCATTGGCTCTGCTGAGGCTGGACCCAATCTGTGAGGTGCAAACAGACATGATAGTCATAGGCAGCAACACTGCCCTGGCAGGCTGCCCAGGAGGCACTGGTTCTACCTGTGAGTCAGTCCTTGTTCTTGTTGTTTTCATCTGCAGAATGGGAACAACCTTTCTGGTCCAACCAGCTCTCTGCCTCCCAGGCTGGTGGGAATCACCATATTCTCTTTAGAAAGCCTTTGATCTCTCTGGAACAAAGCCTCTGGGGTGTTATTACTCAGTGTAAGTGGCCTAACAACAACCTCAGGAAATATCACCTCCTGGGAAGAAGGAACCAGGAGGAGGCAGAGGAGCAGGTGTGATCAGAAGTCTTCTGAGGGCCCTGCCCCGGGTTTGTACCCCTCCATGCCCTCTGATGCTCCATTTCATCCCAAGTGCCTAGACCTCTTATTGCTATTTCCCTTTTAGCATCTTTTGATCGTCTACCATGTGCCAGACACAGTGTCCTTAGCACATTTATAATCCAGCTGGGACAGCCAGGCATATCCACAAGTTCTAGTGACTACGATTTTTATGAGAACCTAATATGTGTTGGGAAACCCATTTCACAGAGCCCTGCGAGGTGGGGGACATGACCCCCGTGTCCAGAGGAAGAGACAAAGGCCCG